CAGCTCGGCCGGAGAGTGGGCGCCCCGGCGGTGCCGCGGCCGCGGGTCTGTGAGTCTGCGAGAGCAGGGAGAGGCGCAGCGGGCAGATTGCTGGCCGCCGCCTCCGGCTCCCGGGCGCCCCCAGCGGCCGCGGCCTGCAACGCGCCAGGGCGCGGAAGCAGGCACCGGGCGGAGGGCGGGGAAATTCGGACCGGCGGGCTCCTTGCCTGGGGAAGCTCATCCGCCACGGCAGTTAGCGCGTCACGCCTCCCTGGGGTTAAAAAAAGACAAACCCAGCCGAAAAAGCTTCCTTCTGCAGCTTCCTCTGCGCCTTTCCTTTCTGGGTTTGCACCGCCTCTTTGATTCCCCTCCCCCTCCAGTGATTTCTTGGCCTCTGAATTTGAGGATGAATAGGAGCAAACAGAATCCCCTAAGTAAAATTTCCTGTAGGTCTAAATTCACTGGCCCTCAAGTATAAAATGACGGCGAAGCAGGAGAAGGGAAAAGGACTAAAATGTGTTGTGGGTCTACTAAGTGCCCAACACTCGGCTGCTGTATATTTCTTCTTGTTGATATTTTAACCAATTCCTGTCTCCCAGGAAAGAAAAATAGATCATAGGCATTAAAAAAAAAATACCTTATTCTTCAAAATTTTCCCATACCGTCAACCATAATACCTAAAATCAGATTCTGAAGGCATGATTGAAAATATAATTCTCCTTAGATGCAGAGCAATTGCCTGCACACACATCTGTTGCTACAATCCATGACATCGACCTAGTTATGTAATGTTCGTGCTTTTAAACGGAGTTTTGTGTGGAGGGTGTGGTTTTGTTGGTTGTTTTGTTTTGAGACAGGGTCTGTAGTGTAGGCTGGCCTCAGTCTATACAGCCAAGAATGATGTTGAACTTCTGATCCTCCTACAAGGATTACAAGAATGTGCTGCTGTGCCAGGTTTATGCAGTTCTGGGGATTGACTCTTGGGCTTTGGTGCATGCTGGTAAACACACTACAAATTGAGCTAATCCCCAGCCTGTGATCTGGTCTTTTTAACCTTTCAAAAGTTGTAATTAAGAACGATTCTTTTTCCAAGATTACTCATTTACTCATTTATTCATATAAAATATTTTAATTGCTGAGTGTGGTGGCTCATGCCTTTAATCCCAGAACTAGGGAGGCAGAGGCAGGTGGATCTCTGTCAGATCCAGGCCAGCCTGACCAACATAGCAAGTTCCAGGTCAGCTGGGGCTACAGGGGGACCCTGTATCAAAAAACCAAATATATAAACAGATGGTTTAGGATATATATATATATATGTATATATATATGTGTGTGTGTGTGTGTGTGTGTGTGTATACATGCACATATATATGGTTACTGAGTAGACCCAGTAATTGAAAACCAGTAACCACCCTTAAGAATTTTACAATCTTAGGCTAGCCAAGATAGTTCAGTGGGCAAAGTGCTCGCTGCTAATCCCCACAACCTGAGCCCTATTCCTAGTAACCCACATGGTGGAAAGGGAGAACCACCTGCTCCCACAAGTTGTTGTCCTCTGACCTTCACAGGTGCTCCGTGAGACTGCATACCCACACAGACACACCCACGTCAAATAAATAAGTAAATAAATAAATATGCAATAAAAGCTTTTAAGAGCAAACTGGTGAGATATCTTTGGGTAGAGCTGAATTTCATACATCTGAATTCCATCCCAGAAGCCCAAGTAAAAGTGGAAGGAGAGCCAGCTCCACAAAGCTGTCCTCTGACCTTCACACATTGCCACGGCATGTGCAAATCCATGCACACACATCTCACACCAACACACAAATAATAACAATCATTTTTAAAAGACAAAACCTAAGACAAAGATGATAAAACCTAAATTTAAAACTTAGCTTCAGATTAGGTAGAATCAGATGAGAAATGGATTGAAATTAACCAATTTTCTGAATTTTAAAGACTAGCTAGGATTTGGGACAAATTAGGAGTTGAAATAGGAGAAGCAGAGACTCAGGCAGGGCTTAACATTTGGGTGTGGAGATTTGGTAGTGGAAGAAGTTTGTTGCCCTGTGGGAGAGAGGGAAAGGAAAGGGGAAAAAGTTAGTGGACTTTGAGGCTTGGATGACTGGGTGAACTAAGCACTGGAAGGAGGCCAGGCTGGGAACCGAGGAGATAATATCTATTTGTAGGGGGAAGGGTTTGCTCTTGTAAAAGGTTAAGGTTGAAAATACACATTTGGGAATTGTGGTATTCACTTATGGCTGAAACCCAAAAGACGGGTAAGAAGGAGTTGCTCTGAAGAATATTTAATGGGTAGATGGAGGAGAAGGTGGTTGTGAAGGCTTCTAAGAACAAGGGGTCAAAGAGGAAATTAGAGAGATGGTCTGGAAGCCAAGAGAGAGTTTGAACCATTTGACATTAGTTATTAAAATTACTGGAGCACTGAGGGCACAGAGACAGAAGGATCCTGGGGTGTGCTGGTCAGCTAGTCTAGCCAAATTGGCAAGCTCTAGATTTAGTGACAGACTGTCTCAAAAAACAAGGTGGTGAGTGATTGATGTAGACACCTTATGTTGACCTCTCGCCTTCATGTGCACATGTACCTGAACACCGCCCCCCCCACACAACAAATCCTGGAGGACTGGATTGAAAAGAAGCTGTAGAATGGAAGATCTAGTAGGTTTTTGGTGAAATAATATTAGAATGGTCTAAGAACTGAGTGTGAATGATAAGGGATCGATGCCAGAAAGTGTTTTTTTGAGTTTTGTCAATGAGTGCAAAAAGAGGTGACTCAAGGAAGTCAGAGGAAGGCTAGAGGAAGGCTCAAGGCTTTTCAATAGTATTCAAGAACTATCTAGTAGTTACTGAATTTCCACTATGTACTAAGCACCTTAAGTCCAATAGCACAGTCTCACGTCTTACATCCTACTGGAGAACGTAGAAAAACAAGCAGCCAATTACAGTGAAATGTAACATCTTGTGCTGTCTGAAGTGGTGATGAGGAAAGATAACACCGTGCAACTAAGTTGAACAGGTTTATGGCAGGCTTTCTGGGATTAGTGACATTAGAGCAGAGACCCAAAGATGAGAGTGGGGGTGGGGAGCAGTTTCCATCCTACTATGCATGTGCAGAGGCTCAGAGGAAGAGAGGCCATGCTGCAGAGGGAACTGAAATTAACTCTGTCTGTCTGCAATTTAGTGTGGAATGTAGAAACGGGAGTGTAGCTGGGAGCCATTGATATAAACCAGAGGAGTAATATATTCTGATTTGCATTTTTAATGTTTTATTATTTTTATTTTATACATATGAGTGTATTGCCTGTATGTGTGTTTAAGTGCACTCATGCCGTGCAATGCCCGAGGAGGCCAGAAGAAGGCGTCAGATCCCCAGGTACTGGAGTTACACATGGTGGTTAGCTGCCATGTGGGTGCTGGGAACTGAATCCAGGTCCTCTGCAAGAGTAGTCAGTGTTTTTAACCACTGAGCCATCTCTCCAGCCCCCAGATTTGCATTTTATAGAGCTGCTGTAATCAAACTGGAGGAGAGCAGGCAGTTTGTTATTCTTTTTCAGACTCACAGTTTGAGTATTAAACACCTGGTATGGGTCAGGGTCAAGGCAGGAAACAGTCGTCATAGCCCAAGTGTTTAGAGGAGGAAAGTTTAATGAAAGGGCTCTGTACAGAGTTGAGGGCAGGGAGGCAGGGAGAAACAATTCTATTCTCTCTCAACTCCTACAATCTCCAGCTGGTGCTTCCCAAGATCCCGAACCTGCCAAAGCCAGATGGCAAAGGAGCCTGGAAAATGCAGTTTAGAGAAGGCAGCCACATGGGAAAACAGGGTAAGAAGAGAGCCAGGTAACAGGACAGAAAACTGTGAGCACATAGTTGATAAAGCCAGGATTCACAGTGAGAACCCAAAACCAAAAGTTTTCTTTCAGTGTTTAGTATTTCTGAAGTTCTCGAAAGGGCTTGAGTGGAAAGCTGCCGGATGTTGAATTCAGAGTCACATCACTGGGATACATTATCTATTTGGACCTCCTTTACTTCCTGGCATATGGACATTTATATTTCCCAGTCCACTTGTAGGCAGGTAGAGCCAGGTGACTTGTCCTAGTCAATAATATATGAGATGCAATGTACCACTTCCAGGATGAGACCGTGACAACATTTGCAGTTTTCTGGACTGTCTCTTTCACCATAGGGGAGACCTTCCTGCCATGGGGGAGACCTTGACTTAAGATGGAGTAGCCACAAAGTCAAAAGAGCCCAGATCTCTGAGTAAGAGAACAAGAGCAACTGCCCACCCCTACAGCAAATGTTTTCAAGTGAGAAAGAAACTCGTGTTAGGCCACTGAGATTTTAGAGAGTGTTTGTGAAGCACAAGGCTGGTTTGCTCTCACTAGCATGTAGCTGGGATGTGGACCTGATGATAGGATACTGCTACTGGCTCTCCCATCATGAAGGCAATAAGAGGAGTCTGGGTATTACTCATGTCATCATATCTTGACTGTAAATGGCCACAAATACAGGAAGACAGCCTGTATTTACTCACACCTGTTTTTACCTTACGTGCATCTCTTTGGGAGGCCTTGTTTGAACTTACACTTTGAATGCTGAGGGAGTCTCATAAGTACAATTTAAAGAAAAATTTTTATTTATTATTTTGATGTGTATCAGTGTATTGCCTGCCTGTAGGTAAGTGCACCCATGTCATGCAATGCCCGCGGAGGTCAGAAGAGGCTGTCACATCCCCTAGAACTGGAGTTACGCACAGTTGTTAGCTGCCATGTGGGTGCTGGGATTCAAACCCGGGTCTCCTGCAAGAACAACCAGTGTTCTTAACTGCTGAGCCATCTCTCCAGCCCCATAAGTACAATTTTTAGTTTTCTAACATCTTCAAATAGGATGGTAGAATGGAAGTAACATATC